AATAAATTCTTTAAAAACAATGCTGTTTAAATTGACTATTGCTTGTGTGATCAATTCAATCATTAACACCAAAAGAATAAAATTGATTATTTTGCAATAAAAGCTATTTATTTGTTTGTTTATTTATTGTTATTTTTTGATTTAATATTAATGCATGGTTTCTATTCATAATCCAAATTTCATTTTTATTTGCTTTTATTTGCTTCAAATTACTATTATTATTCATTTTATTCAAATTATTTTTTGCCCAAATTGTTTTTTTATTCAAGTGAACCTTATTTGAATAGAAACTTAACTACTGCTCAAGATTATGATATTATTTTAGCACAAAGAGCTTTAGAAATATTTAACCAATAATTTAATTACAATATAAAGAGTTATTGGTTTATTGAATTAAGCCAATAATTAATTAAAAAATAGGATTAATTTAAAAGAATTTCTGATAATTTTGATATCTACTAATAGGCTTTTAGACAATATACTAATAGGCTTTTAGACAATATGATAAAAATACTAAGAAATACAATTAATCATACATCTTTAATAAAACAAACATGACTTAGCTATTTAATCATTTCCTTGTATGTGAATGCCTCCATCCATCAAATATTTACAATGGTTGTGATTATTATTCAACATATTTGATATCATCATTAACATAACAAACAATTGCATCACCCAGGTAGTAACAATACCAAGGCCATGCATGAATGAAACTTTTAATAATGCATGTCTACCCAGATCTTTGGGATTCACAAATAAATTATTTTTCCTGATCATCAATTATGGTTGCTCATGAATAATAAATCTGACGTTGATCACAGGTGTCAGATTTAATAAAATTTTCCTATAACAAACATGCAAGCGTGGTGCAATTAAGCACGCCTCATAACTGTGAAATTTTTTCCCACAGGTGAAACAATTGAACATGTTGGAAGGCTTTTGTAGAGTAGGCCTTATCTTTCCCTCAGACCAGGCTTGACTGTTACCATATAAGCATTGATTGTTGATGAGAGTTGGCACTTGTGTGATGGATTATTGGTTTGTGTTATTGCCACACTAGCATAAAGTTAGTGTTTAAGTAGGATCGTTGCAGGAAATTTTTTGCCTAAACATATCAGCAGCCTTCTCTGGTCTGGGTGCTATGAGGAAAGATTAGTGAAAATATCCTTGACGATGATGCAACTTTAATAAACTCCAGGGCAACGCTACCCCCCCCTGGAATTCAGTTGCATTATTGTATCATCGGGGGAAGCAAGTCAGATTAGCCTTATGTACACGAGGAACATGTGAGAATGACTGTAAAGTGTTCAAGGTAGTGTGTGCGTCTTGACATCTGTGAAGTGTACAATTATGAAAATGTCGTATATAAAAATGTTTCCTTTCCTCGTATCGCCCTGACATCTTGCAATTACGAAAAGCAAAATACCAATCATTTATTATCAAGATAAAGAATCTCGTAAATACCTAAGTCACTACAAGATCTGCTCCGCGTTTTGATTTCAATAAGAAATATCAATGCAAATTACCTCTGGTTAGCTATTAACACGTTTTCTTTAGGAGACCCGAACAACAACACTCACATTTTGTCACCTTGGACTCTGTAAAAAATAAATTGTTTTTCCAAAAAAAAAAAAAAAAAAATTCAATCGCATAATATTCCTTGTACAACCTATACGCGTATAATATAATAATTTACCCCTTGATTAATTGGCATTAATAAAAAAAAATTTCTTTTAATTTAAGAAAAAATGTCGCAATCAATATTGTTAGGAAAAAGAAGAAAAGGATCTCAGCTCGCCAATTCCAACGGGTAAGTGTTTATTGTTAAATGGTGGCTGTTGCAACTTGTCATTCTAGTTATTATTAAAAAGAATGATGGTTGTGATGCATACTAATTATTCTCTCCCTAAAAATTATTATAGAAATAATTATTATAGCGATATTAGTAAATGTATTGACTTGGATGCATTATTTGATGACATCAAAGACAATATACAAGAGGGTATGCCACCATTGAAACCATTGCAACTGCTTGAATTATTAAAAGCTATTTATGAGGTATCTTCATTATTGTTTATTATTAATAATAAAAGTTTATCGTATCATATTTAATTCATTTTAAAAAAAAAATATACTCAAGGAAGAGGAAGAATCAGAAGAAGAGAAAGAATTGAAAAGAGGGAAAAATTCGGAAGAATTGGAAATTTTTCAAGAAAAAGAAGAAGAGATGGAGGAGGATTCAGAAGAGGGAGGAGAAGTGGAAGAGATGGAGAAAGAGAAAGAAGAAATTGAAGTAGTACCAATTGAAGAAGTTTATGATGATGATGATGATGATAATGTTAATGTTAATGTTAATAGTGATAGTGTTGACAGCAATAGTAATAATAATGTTAATGAAAATGAAGAAGATAACATTAATATTAATGGCAGTAATGATGATAATGGTAATGTTATTAATGATGCTAATAGCAATGATGACAATGTAAATGAGAATGGTAATGGTAATGGTAATGGTAATGATGATGATGGTAGTGTATTAGAAAGCCTTGATGAAAGGAGGTTTGCGACTGCTTGGAATACCAAATGGTCAAAAGAAGAGTTGAGCATTCTCCTAAATCATGTATTTAGTAAGAAGATTAATTGTAATGAATTACAAATTAATGGAATATCAAGAAAAAATAATGCTATTTCATTAAAATGGAGGTTAATGAAACGACAAATAAAGAAAATGTTTGGGGTTGATTTTTAACACTAGTAGAATTTATTTTAGATCATTCGCAGGCATTAGAAAGTTTAGTATTACTTATGGTCTAGATTGTAATTTATTAACTAATCATCATAGATTTGATAATATCTTTTAAAATCTTTATAAATTAGAGTATACTAATTCTTGTAGTGGTGAATTTTTTGACAAATTAACGAAAGTTTGTAAAAATATTCAATCATTAACAATATATTATTCTAATGATAAATATACATATAACTTAGCACAGCTAATTAAAGCACAAAAGCAAATTAAATCTTTAGTTATTAATACAGAAAATGAACAAATTTTAAAAAATTGATCGTATCAAAAAATAACTTAATTATTGCAACTATTATTTTAGTTTAGTAGCTCAAACAATATTTTCTTTTGTTATCATTATCATGTCACCTTTTCATTTAAATTATATTTTCAATATAATATAGTATTAATCAAATTTTGTGGATATATAGTATATAGTAGTATAAGGATTATATAAACATACAGATGATGATAACATTAGCTTAATAGAAAGAATAGATGTAAGGCTGAAATATTTGAAATATTTACTTTTTAAATAAAACATATGTGACAATTTTTGTAGTTGCTCAATTAATAGGGGTTATTTTCGGATTATTATTATTATAAATGATTTAAATTTGTTAACAATAATTCATTACAATCATTATATAGATGGAGATGCTCATGATTATTATAAACATTTCATCGGAAATAATGTGCTGAACAATATCCATGGATCTCAATTCATATAAAAGGAACTCATGCTGTTTAATTAGACAATTGAATTGATATTTATTATGCAAGAAATGTAAGTTAAAAAATGTAATAGTTGGTATTTACAAAAGGAAATGCTAATTAATTGGGAGGCATTCACTTTACCGACAATCACTTTACCGACGTATTATTTTACCGACAATCATTTTACCGAAAGTTCATTTTACCGACAGTT